GTGTCACTGGCCCTCATATGTGGGATCCGAACCGGGGCCCTCTGGCATCCCAAGCGAGTTCTTAACCATCGCGCCACTCGGCCGGCCCTCCTGGTTTTTCTTTGAATGAATGAATTCATTTCACTAATCGTGACCATATGAGAGAGAGAGCGTGCTGTGTTTGGGGGAGTGTGCGAGGACTCCCCAATATTCACACTCTCACCACTGAGTACTCACTGTAATGACAGTGAGAAAATTCACCCCGAATTTGCTGTCTGAGTCAGAAGCCTGTTGTTATATCTTGCATGTCGAGGTGGAAGGAGAACACGCGCTGAGGTCAAGTCTTGGGGTTCCCTGCTGGCTTGCCTTGTCCCCCTCGCCATTGATACCCTGCCTGGCTCCTGGCATCGGCTCCTGCCAGGCACCCGGGGCCGGTTCAGAAGGCGTCTTCCTCGGTGGTTTTCATTAATGGGAATGTTTCTTGCGTGTAGAGGAGAGATGTGACTGCCAACTGGATCTGGACAGTGTCATTGCATAGTCACACATCATATGCACTAATAAGATATTATTATGTAAGTTCACAGTTGATGTTATCCAAGAACCCTTGGTGTATTGTTGCATGGAGAGGTAAACGTTTTTCATGGTCTTTGGGGGAAATTCGTTACGGTTTTTGGATGGTCTAGGAATACATTTTTATTTCCTCTGTTTAAAACAGTGGAATAGAAATGCCCATTATTTAGTATTTACTGTCCAACGCATTTTTAGAGACAGATGGATTGCAACACGAGGATTGTAATCAGTGTGGCATCTGCAAGGCAGAGGTGCCATCGGAGGTGACAGACACTGGAACGGAGGGCAGCAGACTACAGCCTCCGGCCAGGGTCACCCACCTGTATTTTGTTGTTTTTCACAAAGGTTTCACTGGAATGCAGCGAGGCCTGGTCACGGGTAGCCTGTGTGTGGTGGCTTGCCCTCCATGGCGGAGCCAAGGGTGCCTGGCGTTTGCAGGGCCTGTCGAGCACGAGTTTGCCGACCCTGCTGTACAGCTCAGCCCAGCAGATCGAAAAAGGGCCCTGGATTCCAGGGGGAAAGTTTGGACTTCACCCTGTGGGTTGTGGAAAACCTTTGTGTTTGGCAAACGGCTGCTGAGATGACAGACTTACTGACACTTTTATGGAAACACGGTGGTTTCCATGAGGGGAATGGATTTGAAAGGAAGGACAGGAGTCTAGGTCCTGAGGGATGGGTGGCCCTGCTTACACAGTGTCATGCTGTAAGTGCAAGGAGGCTGAGCACTGAAAACGATCACTGGCTTTATCAGCAAGTTTCTGTTTCCTTGGATTTTTCTTATAACAGCTTTTTTGAGATATAACTCACATACTATGCTGTTCACCCATTTCAGCTGGTTGAGTATATTCACAGAGTTGTGCGACCATCACCACATTCAAATGCCTGTTAACGGTTACTGCTCCTTGCCCTCCCCCAAACCCTAGGCCAGTGCTCACCTACGTCTTGTCTAGGTAGGGCATCCTATTCTGGGCATTTCCTATCGATATATGGCCTTTTGTGACTGGCTTCTGTCACTCCACGTTTTTCAAGGAGCACCCACGTTGTGACGTCAGTAATTCTTTTTTATTGCCAAGTAATAGGCCCTATCTGATGACCCCATCTATTTACCCATTCATCAGTGGCTGGACATGGGATGTCCTTGTCGTGGTGTTAGTGAAGTGGTGTGATAGAATGAGTGCCCTCGGCATGAGGAAGAGGACTTGGCAGGATAAACATGGCAAGAAGTGTCGGCGGCCTTTTCAGAAGGTGGGGCTGTGAAGGGAAGGAGAGGGGACCCTTAGGAAAAGAACAAGTTCTAGAAAAGAATGGGTAGGTGGGTTGACCTGTTTTCAAAGACAGGGGAGCTTTGTGCAGGTGAAAGGTCCATGATGAACCAGATACGAGGGATGGTGCAGGATACTGGGAAGGCACAGCAAAGAACAGATGAGCCGTTTCTTTTCATAGGTGAATGATATTTCCTTGTTTGTCCATTCACCCATTGATGGACATTTGGGTATCCACACCTTTTGGCGATGGAATAGTGAACACTCATGCAAGTTTTTGTGTGGACATGTGTTTGCCAAGAGAAGTAGATACCTGGGAGTGGAAGCGCAGGGTCACGTGGGCGCACTCAATCAAAGTGTCTGCAGGCTTTTCCTGTCCCCCAGCAATGTGGGAGAACTCCAGTTTCTTCACATTCTGCCAACACTTAGGATTGGCTTTTCTGTTTTAACCATCCTCGTGGGTGTGAGGTGGCGTCTGTGTGTTTGAATTTGCAGCACCCTGATGACTGATGATGCTGAGTACCTTTTTGTGTGCTTCATGTCGCCTGTGGAGAAACGTCTAGTCATGTCCACTGTCCATTTCTTAAACTGAATTGTTTATCTTTTGTTAAGTCTTATAGATTCTAGTTTCAAGTCCCTTATCAGATATGTGGTTAGCTAATCTCTCCTGTTCTGTGGGTTGTCTTTCACTGTCTTGATGGTGTCCTTTGAAAGTATAAAAGTTTTTCATTTAGATGAATTCTAATTTATTTTGTGTCTTATCAAGAAACATCACCTAATCAAGGTCACAGAGATTTACACTTGTATGTTTGTCTAAGCGTTTGGTAGTGTTAGCTCCTGCATTTAGGTCTTTGATCCATTTTGAGTTATTTTTTGTAAATGGTGAGTTAGGAGCTCCCCTCTATTCTTCTGCATGTGGACGTCGAGTTGTCCCAGCACCACTGGTGGAAAGACTGTCCTGTCACCCTTGTTGAGATCCAGTTGGTCGTAAATGTAACGGTTTATTTCTGAGCCCTCAGTGCTATCCCCTTGACCTCTGTGTCTGCCCTTAACGCCAGTGCAGCCCTGTTTTCATCACTGCAATTTGTAGTAGTAGTAGTAGTAGTAGTAGTAGTAGTAGTAGTAGTAGTAGTAGCAGTAGTAGTGTGTGTGTGTGTGAATGAAAAATGGCAAGGAACTCCAGGCCTACCCCAAGCAGCAGGGTGCTGGTGGTAATCGGTGTGTCCTGGGTATAAAAATTGTGCCCCTTTATTTGTGTATCTTTGAGAGGTATCGGTGTAGACTCAGTTATTATTATCTGCTCAGATTCTAAACGTTGCTGCTTTGACAATGTAGATCTTCAGTGTTCTTCAGCCTTTGTAATAG